AGTACTCCCTCCATCTCATTTTTTTGGAAATCTCGTTTCCTAAGGAGTCCAACAATCCCAAGTTTAACCAAATATAAAAAATACTAGTATTAATGATGCATGATAAATATAACAAAAATCATATAATATATTTTATAATAATAAACTTATTTAAAGACATAAGTTTTGATACAAATCGGTGTCAACCTAAACAATAAACATCTGGTCACTTGTCATTTTAGCTATTATCCGGCCTAAACGGCTATTTAAGTGGGCAAAGTGGTCGTTTAAATGGAATAAACAACTGACTAAAAACGAAAATGGCAATACCATTGTGTAGTGTTTAGACAGTGTGTACAGTGTGCAAACGAGCTAAACGATCGTTTAGGCAAACAATCACACAAATTTAAGATTGTCCCTTCACCCTGATCTTGTAAACAGCCTCGATGGCTGGCGTAGCTTCCTCCTCGATTGTTCTGGTACTGCTTTTGCTCACTCCGGGAGTCCGGGTAACTGGAGTGTTTGCCTTTGGAAAGAAGGTGGGGAAACTCTCCCCCTGTTTTAGTTTAAAAAAAATTAAGATTGTTTAACTTGTTTGAATTTTAAGTCTTTTTGGGAGAAGGCAGCAGCAGCCAACCTACGAGCAGTCCAATCAAAGGCCTGCCGGCCTCCACTTTACTTCATGAGCATGAGGAGCATCGATGCTCTCTGTCTGTCTCTCTGAAACTCTGAGCCTTGACCGGCCCCCTTTCGCTGTACTGAAGCTCGGAATCACCGCGGCTTTCAAACATGCAGGTGAAACAAACAACAGTGCGCCCTGCTGCCCTTCTGCGACTGCTAGTGCATGCGAGCAGTCCGGCTCGGCCGGCAGCATCAACGACGAGCTGAGCCAGCCTTGACCACATGTCCACACGGCGGCCAGTGCAGAGCGAGCTCACGTTTGAACGCACGCGGCCGCCGGAACCGGAAGCGTGGCGGGCACTACTCCTGCCACTGCGTGCTCAGCCTCCACGGACCTTACGACAGACGACGGCTCGTCGGGAAAGAGAGGGAGATGGCGGGGTCGGTCTCGCAGTTGCGCGCGTGCATGCGTGCCGCTGTTTCAACTCTCAGGTCCGAACTCTTAAAGCATGTTCGTTTGTTGGTTTTAGTCGGTCTTATCAGCTAACCAAAATTGTTTTTCTCTTATAATAAATCAGTGTCAGTCGGGCTTATCAACCCAGAAATCAATCAGCGAACAGGCCCTGCACCACTGCACCGGAACAGGGAGAGCTAGAGAGCCGGCTTTGTTAACAAAAATTGCATTGTAAGACGAATAAGAAAAAGGGGTAATCTCAAGATGGCCAGGGCACGGTAGGAGTAGCAGCTCCGTCCAGGCCAACTCGCATGCTTGTCGGCAACGGGTAGCGGCAGACAGCACCTGCACGCGAGGCCGAGGCCGAGACCGCTTGTCTATTTTCGGACTGAGCCGGCCGGGGGCAGCGCCGGACGGCCGGCCGCCACCTCTTGCCTAGTCCCGCTCTCGTGTCCTGCAGGCTCGATGGCGTCTGACGACGACGCTGCATGCAGACAGGTAGCAAAGCGACTGCCAGTGCCAGGCGCCAGCAGGGTATGGCCAGCAGAAATGTAGGTAAAAAAATGTGCTGTTTAGTTGGAAAATCACGAGATGAGCATCAGTGTGCAAATAATATGGCTTGCCACTGTGCTGTTGCTGGCTGAGGGGCTCGAGGGCCTACGACGACGCTGCATGCAGACAGGTAGCAAAGTGATGCCAGTGCCAGGCGCCAGCAGGGTTTGGCCAGCAGACTGCTGTTACCACCAGCATTTAAAAATTTCTTTGGTTTAAATACCTCCAAATCCAAGTTTTTTTGTCTCTCCATCATATCAATTTTTAGCTGTTTATATGGAGCATTAAATATATAAAAAAATAAAATTGCAAAAAGTTGAAAATCACGAGATGAATCTTTTGAAATTAGAAATTCGCGATTGATTGAACATTTTAAACCTAAAATCTACTATTCATCGTTTGAAATTTTTTACCAAATAAAAACAAACGCCACTATGCTGTTGCTGGCTGAAAATCCAAATTCTACAACTAAACACAGCCGGAAGGCACGAGCGAGTCACCCACCACTCACCACGAGCTCGTCGTCTCTCTCAAGTCTCATCCATGCATCCATCGGCCGGTGGTCTCCTTTTCGTGTGGCGGAAGCGACCGCTGCTCGATCGCTCCGCGCGGATGACAGAGATTGTATTGCCGGGAACGAAGAAATCGCTTATCTTTGCAAGTGACAGGGACTCCTACTATTATTACTTGTATGGCCCGTTCGCTTCGCTAAAAAAATAAGATGAAACAATATTCCGGTTGATTTGTTGTGAGAGAAAAACATCTGTTTCAATTGAAAAACAAGCTGAAAAAGACGGATTATAAGATAAACGAACATGATCTATGTGTCGTGTCAACTGTCAAGACGCAAATTTGTAGGTAGGTTAAGCTTCCGATCCGTTTGAATAGGTTAAAGATTATAAGATTCTAAAAAAAAATTCTATACACCATCCAAACTGGAGGGACATGAAGCTAGATTTCCAAATTCTTATACTACACAAAGTCTCAAAATATTCATAATCCCTTTTTCGAATAGAAACTAGCAGGTTAACTACCGGTCCATGTATTAATAGAAAAAAGCATGTACACATAAAAGAAAACAACAAACCCTCCACAAGCATCACCGAAAACCAACACATGACGTTGGCAATGGCATGACAAACCACCACAACCAGGGGCGAAGCTAGGTAGTTATTAGGGGGTGCAAATGCACCGCAAAATTTGTTAAAACAATGGTTTTCCTAGATTTTTATTATATGTGCACCCCCAATAGCATAAGTTTATGCGCCCGCAAGACAAGTGCACCACCCTCTAATTTGCTCAAAGCCGCCCACAAAACCAAAGGTCATCCTGCCTATTGCAGCAACAACCACCAGGAGATTGACTAAGCGATGCCTCCATGGAGAAAACGACATCCACAGATGCCGTTAACGCAAACTGGAATACCCGACAAGTTTTTTCAACCAGGAAAAAAACCAAGATAGAGGCGGGAGCGAAAAAAGGACACACGACAATGACCCTGTTCGCTTCGCTAAAAAGCCATGCCTGAAAGTATTGTTCGTTGTTTTGTTGTGAGAGAAAAACGTTGTTCCTTCGCTGAAACAGCACAGCTCATAAGACAATCGAACAGGGCCAATGCCTCCAGCGAGGTCCACGGCATCCATAGGCATTGCCATTGTCAGCATTAGTGTAGCCGAGCAAGGACTTCTCCCAATGGTCCCATCCCAAACCACAAGCTCATAGCATGGATCTCACCGAAGTGAGCCGCCACGAACGAGTTGTCGCAGCCAAACCGAACAAGTCACCGGCATGTGTGATTCGTCAATGTGGCGCCAGCCTCATAATAGCCATTGCCAGCTCGCCAAACACCAAAACATCTCAGGTCACCACACCATGCTGCTACGAATATGTAGATAATATATAGATTTGTAAAATCCTTAGTCATCCAAACAACACCTAAAGGCGGACCACCACAACAATACGTAGGTTTCTAACTACTCCCTCCGTTTCAAATTATATGTCATTCAAAAATCTTGGAGAGTCAAAACATCTCAAGATTTTTTTTTCTATTTACCTTTCAGTTGTTGTTTTGTTGCTGTTGTTGGGCTTCAGCCGTGTCTGTATAGTGCTTGTACGGTACCGTCTAGGTTCGCTATTACTCTCGTAGCTCTCCTGCTAGTTCGTTTTAATAAAAATAGCAACATGTTCTGTGTCACTTGCTCACCGTAAGTGTGTAACATAGCATGTCGTGGTATCATTAGCAGCTGAAATGGTTTTCTTTTACATATCTCTCTTTTTCTCCCTCCCTCTCTCTCCTGTCTCCATCCATCACAAGGAGAATCACGTGTTCTTTTTTTGAGGTCGGCGGTTTATTTAGCACACGTACAGGTGCAGCTGAAAACGTAGTAGCACATGCACATGACAATTGCCCAAACTAAAGGACCACGTAGTTATTTTCCAACCTGATCTTTTTCCTCCGAGACGTTGCAGCTACTCCCTGAAATGCCAACGCCACTCGGCCCTTTTGCGCGGCGCTGCTTGTTTGGTTTCTTTCCTTGCTGAGTGAGTGGCGAGTGGTCACAATAATAATATCTGAACCGAATGCCCGCCCCACCAGCCTATAGAAAACCACCACACGGCCGGGCCACGCTACTCGGATCCCTTGAGCTTCTTGGCGTCCTTCCGTCTTTTCCTCCCTGCTTCTTCTTCGATCCTATTCCTATCCGAGCTCAGGTTGTCTCCAAGAACCACACGGCAGGCCTCCCTCTAGTCTAGGAGATCGATCTCTCGGTCGTACTAAGCTAGCACAGCTCCACCAGTCCAATCCAGCAGCTGTAGCTGGAGCCTGAGGTGGAGAGATCGGATGCGTTGCTCTTGAGCTCCGAGTACATCGCGGAGGCAGGCACAGGCAACGCCACGGGAGACAGAGAGGGAGAGAGGTGGGCGTCCTCAGGTAGGTCGTCGACGATCTTGCTCCCCTGCTTCTGTTCTGTTCCATCTGCGTCCTTCATGCTCTCCGTTTGCTCAGGATTCAGGGAACCCCCCTCTGCCCTCTGGTGAGGGTAATCGTTGTTTTGTGGTGGTTGGAGTGTCTGTGATGCTTTGTTAATTTGCAGTCCCTTTCTGTAACCGTTGGGAGTTCTTGGTAACGGTTAAGGTTGGTAACGATTGATAAGCTGCCTGCTTTGTTCACCTCGATCGCATACCCATGTACACTGTTTTCTTGCTCATCATCCTGTTGTTTGCTCGATCCATCCATATATACCGTACGTATTGTGTTGTGTGTATCTGATGAGATGCATACACTGACAGGCGAGGTGCCTGACTTGTTTCTTTCTTCTGCTATTTTGCAGCTCCAGCAAAGGAGCGAAGTCCCCTGCCCCTGTCTAGTTGAGTCCATCCCTCAGATACATACATGGGCAGGCATAGAGGGAAGAGCAAGAAACTGAACGACGAATCCGACGAAGACGGCAGCGTCGGCGGCGAGGAGGTGTCCGTGTCCCCCACACCGCCCAAGACGAAGAGGAGGAGGGGAAGGCCGGCTCAGAAGCCTCTCACGGCGGACGACGGCACCGACGGCGTGGAAGCAGAGGAGGACAAGGACGCCGGCGAGGTCGAGGAGGAGGACGCAGACGACGTCCCCAAACCCGCTCTCGCTGTGCGGCGAGCAGGCAACGACGACGACGACGCCAAGGGCTCGACGGCTGAGACCGGAGCCGCCAAGAAGCGGCGGCGCCGGCGGGCCCGGGTGAAGCGCGGCTCCGACGACGACCTGGTGGGAGAGGACGGCGTCGGGGATGGGCGCGTGAGGGCCAAGTCCAGTGGGTTCCGCCCCAATGGAAGCCGCCGGAAGAGCACTCCCCGGCGAGCCGCCGAGGCTGGAGTGGACTGCAAGTGAGCATCTACCCCAGCTACCACGTAGTACTAGTGTTGAAGTTAACTTCTTCTTTTTCACTAATTACATGGGGTTTTGTTGTACCCTTCTCTGTTAATTACATAGGTTAAAAATGCAATCTTCAAGTGTGTGGTAGTGGTAGACTGGTAGTTCCATTCCATGCATCCCTAGCAGGAGCAGGAGCAGGAGCATGATCCTGTTCATGCCATTACGTGCTGGTCGGTGGATGACAAGTTAGTTATTATAGCTATATTGGGTTGTTTAGCATCAACGTATAGCTGTGAGTTGTGACCGGTGGGCTGCGTTGCAATTACAAGCATTTCCGTGTGAACTATTTACCTTTTGTTTTGTGAAGTTTCTGTTTGGTTGTTTATGGGTCATTTGGCAGTCTTTTCTCCGTGGGAGCTACTCTCCTCAACTAAAACTATAATCACTCCTCAATTAAATGGTAAAAGACATAATAGTCGTTTTGGTCATTGAACTATTACTCAAGGCTTAATTTTATCCCTGAACTTTCAAAACGGCTATTTTAGTCCTTAAACTATATTTTTAGACTCAATATAATTCTAGAACTATAAAGATGATCGTTTAGCACTCAAACTTTGCGTATTGAGATCAATTTTGTCCTAGAACTATAAAGATGATCGTTTTAATCCTCAAACTTTGCATATTGGCTCAATTTAATCCATAAACTATCAAAAGTATATATATCCTACTAAATCATTTTGTGGCAGCAATTATAGTTGCTTCGAACGCTATTTATTTCTTAAGAAACATGGATATATTGAAAAAATAATAGATCTATAATTTTTTATTAGCTACTTCTAAAGTTAGGCTCAACTAATAACCATTTGTGTATAGAATAATATTTTTTATCCATAGGCTAAAAATAAGTCATATTTAAGAATATTTAGATCTATATTTATATCCATCTTAGAATATGAATATAATTGTTGAAAATGTGCTATCCAATTCGGTAGTTGGGGCGACGCCAGGGAGAATAGTACCTATCGATGACTATCCATCTCAAATAGCACGTAGTGCTGGACAAAGGACGAAGTTGAACCAAAACACATTTTGATAATTCATGGATGAAACTGAACCTAAAATATAAACTTTTCTCTTTGATAGACAAAATTGGGTTGAAAATAAAAGTTTAAAGACTGAAATACACTTTTGATACTTTATGGATGAAATTGAACGTAAAATGCAAAATTTGAGGACTAAAACGATCATCTTCGTATTTCTAGGATGAAATTGAGGCTAAAAGTAGAGTTTAAGGACTAAAATAGCCATTTTGAAAGTTAAGGGATGAAATTTATGGCAGAATCGCCTAATCTAATATTTTTCAGGAGTACTTGTCTTTCATTAGACACTAACTACTCAAGAGAGGACATTAAACTACGTGTAGAATCTACAGGAAGATAAATGAGGCCTAGAGGGGGGGTGAATAGGCCTGTAAAAATTCAACTCAAAACTCTATTAGAACAGAGGGCGGCACTGTCGCTCTACGAAAATAAATCTAACACAGCTGAGATTTTACAGAGATGAACCTGACTCCACTAGCGGCTTAATCCTGCAATAGAAAGACAAAATCCAGTTCGAAAACTGAATACCACAGAAACTCCACACAAGAGTGGATCGAGCAACCAAACCCTAACAACAGCTAGCAATGAGCTAAACCAGCAAATAAACAAGATGAAGCACGCGAGACACAAGATTTATCCCGTGGTTCAGCTCACCACAAAAGTTTGCCTAAGTCCATGTTGTTGAGGAAGTCACAAAAGGCTTGGGCTTGCCACAAAGGCTTGCCTTACCCTCGTTCTCAAGTCAAGAGGATGAACTCTTGAAGTGAGATGTGATTTCTTAGTTTTGAGAATGAGGTTACAAACCTCCCAAGGCTGCCACACGAGTTGGCAAGCTCAAGGGCGACGCCTAGCCGGCTAGAAGCAAGCTCCAAGAGTAACAAACCCAAGAACCACCGGCCAAACGTGAACCAAATGCTCTTAGACTTTGGAAATTAGTGGATCTGCTATCCAATCAAGTTTTGTTGCCTTTTCTCTCAAGTTTTGATGGTTGGAATCAAGGATTTGCTTGAGGGATGGAGGAGCAACAATGGAGGAGAGAAGGTGAGCTTTGGTTCTGTTCTTTTTCGTGCAGAATGACTGAGTGAAGAAGATTACCGTTGTGGGCTAGGGCCTGAAGGGTATAAATACCCCTTGGGTCCAACAGGTTAGTTAAGGGCGGCACTGCTGCTCTTAACAAGGCGGCACTGTCGCCTCTAGCCAAAATAGGTAAGTTGAGGTGAAATTTAGCTGACTGTTTTGACTAGGTGAGAGGATGTAAATCTGAGAATTTGAGCATCTGGTTCAACAGTTGACCAACTGTCCTAAAATCCTTCTTAATAGTACGGCTTTCCCTAAACTCAATTTCAAAACATAAAATAATTTAAACTTCCATTGAGTTAGGTTTGGCCACCTTTTGTAATTAGGACACCTGCAACCTGTACATCATCCTCATTTTTCGATTCTCTGCTTGTCATCTCGATAAATCTCATTAGTCCTCTAATTTGGTGGTCATCAATGCCAAAACCCACAATAGGGCTTGATTGCACTTACAATCTCTCCCCTTTTTGGTGATTGATGACAACTCAATTAGAGCTTAAAAATGATATAAAATCTAAATTGAGATTTTCGAACCATGGGTGTAGAAGCCTCCCCTAAATATGTGAATAGAGATTTGAATTCTCAATTTGGCATAAAAGGCCACGATTCACATTTTAGGTGTGATGGGAACCTCCCCCTACATCCATGCCTGCTGTGGGGTGCTGAACAAAGTGTCACAGGAATAAACATGATGCATATGACAGGTTATATCAGTTCAAGCACACAAGACCCTGGCTGATACAGCACAAGGTGGCACTGCCGGCCACAGAGGGCGGCACTGCCGTCCTGACTATATTGATCAGGTAGCAATCAGGTTCATACAGCAGATCATATGAATACAAAACAATCTAAACTCAGAATATGACAAGCTAAAAACAATAACCATGAATACATGTTCATATCCGAAGCAAATTAAGTCACAAAGTAGCTTATTTCATAAAATAGAGTTTTGAGCGACTCTTAAACTCACAACCTAACAACTACTCTCATCGGATTTGGACATTAAGCGCAGCAGCAAAGAACTCATGGCGTCGAAAATATGTTGACCCCTCTAATTTTCTCCCCCTTTGACATCAAGTACCAAAAAGAAGAAGAAAAAGAAGAAAAGTCACTCGTCACTGTCGGAGTCGACGCGGGCACGTCCTACGACATGGGTGTGTGAAGTGAAGCATGCTGAATGTCGCGGAGAAGATGCCCCAGCTGAAGTAGAAGGACCTAGCTGATCCGTCGAAGGTTGTGGTCTCCTAGAATATGTGCGAAACAAAGCTGCCTGAACCTATGGATCGGCCTCTATAAGGTGAATCTTTGCACCAAGGTCCTGCTGCCTTGGGGGCTACTCAAAATGCTGCCCCTGTGGATACCCGTAGTACTGACTGAACGGCTCATATGAGTGCCCATACTGCTGATCATCTGGCTCTTCATAATGATGCTCATGTGGCTGATCCTCCTCGTCGTCAGCGGAAGAAAGTCGAGGCAAGTTAGGAAACTGAGGTGGTGACTACACTGGTGGAAGTGGTGGCAGCCCTGCCATCTCCCTAGCATGCCTCACTGCTTTCCTGTTTTCTATTCTATCCTCATAAGCAGTCTGTGAAGCATATGCACAATGAGCAAAGATTGCCTTCATCCATGCACTCATCTTCTCCCACTTTGACTTCTTCTTTTGTTCCCTAGCCCTGGACGGCTCAGGAATATCTTTATGTTTAGCTCCAGAAGAGTGAAAGCCTGCTGCCCCACTATTTCCATATCCTCCAGAATAAGTGCGCTGAGTAGCTGACCCAAGTCCCCTAAGCCCCCATGGGTCTTTTTGATCTTGTAAACAGTGTGCTCACAATCCTTAGGGAACCATATGCCAGTCACTCTCTCAATCATAAACATGACTTAAGGAGCATAGGGCAAAGATCTCCTCCCATCATCCATGGCATATGCTAGCTCAACCCAAATGAACCTTGAAACATTAAACTTCTCATTACTGGGAAACCTAGACAATACATTAGTGATATAGCCATTCAAATCTGTTGCATTGTCTTCCTAAAAAGATTGTTCATGATGTAATAAAAGCTCTTGAGCTTGGTCCTTGACCAATCAGGAATTGCAAGATTTTGATTCTCCCACATGAAGCTTACTTCCATTGGCTCAAGACGACGTTCATTATGAATCCTCTCATATCCCCTGCGGATGTGTCCAACACCAAGAATACGACAGAAGATGACAAAATCAATGCGATAATGTCGCCCATCAGTCATCCAATGAAGCTCATCCACTTCCCTGTTCCAATAGTAAGTGGCATGGAACTGTGCAAGATTCTCCTTGTTCCAATCATGTCTGAAACTCATGATATCTATCATCTCAAAGCGGTCACAGGTCTTGATGGCTGCAGCAAACCCATGATCATCCCTACTCTCCAAGTCACCAAAGTCAATGTACTGCATCTTGCTAATCTTGCCCTTTGGCTTGGATAGGATGGCTGTGGCATAAAAATCAGATTGGAAAGCATTCCAAAATCTATAATCAATGTCACTGGACCTATCAGATGAGTAAGGATCAATCTCTCTAGCTTCACCTGTCTTCTTCCAACTCATTGAATAAACAGTAACCTTATGATTGTCACTGTTTTGGGGAGGATTGAGGTTGAACCCATCAGTGTTTTCTCTCATGTAGCTGCTATCAAACTCTGAAATGTGCAGAGGAGAATCAGGCCACACATGAATGGTCATTCCCGTCCTCTGATTTCTTTCTTCTTTAGCAAGGTCTTCATCAAGATTTCTGTCACTGGGAATATAGCTTGCCTGTCCCCTGCCTCTCTTGACTTTTTGCTTAGTTGACATCACCTTCCTTTTT